AATATCACGAAAATGAATTCAAGTATGATTCATAGAAGGTTTACTTACTTGGATAGAATAAAAAGTTGAATTACTTGTTTGAATCCCATTAAAATGCTTCACTCACCATTAAAAAGTGATGCGGAAAGGAAAGTGGAAGAGGAAAGTAGAGGAAGAAGATGAAGTAGGATAAGGAAATGGAAAATGAAATGGGAACTCCGGGTAGTTCTTAGAATTATCATTGGGATTTTTTTATGGGTTGAAAATTGACGCAAACGGTACGTCAAGTGTCAATGGGTACATACTCAAATCTCCACTTTATACTTTAGTGGCAAAGCATAGTCCTAATCCTTATACTTTGATCTTTTTGGTTTCCTTCAAGTAAGTCCAGCTTTCTTTAATTCACTTATTTCAGTTACATCCCATTCTACCCACTCTGGGAACTCTAATGGCTCGAACCAAGGTTTTGGAAATCAGCCCGACTCGGACTCTAAGCAACGACTCGATTCAATAGAAAAACGGGACGTTACATTATCAGCAACCAATATCGGCACCAAGTGAGCTTTCTTCGCTCCCGCGGAGTTACATCACTCAATTGTTGGCATTCCAATTTGGAATTATTGAAACAGAGGCTAAGAATTGATAATATTAAAAATAAGTATCAAGGTGACTGTGGTTAACAAAACTGAAGTATTCAGCCTAATTCTGGACTCTAATGGCTCGAACCAGGTTTTGAATCAGCCCGACTCGACTCTAAGCAACGACTCGATTCAATAGAAAAATGGGACGTTACATTATCAGCAACCAAATTCCACCAAGTGAGCTTCTTCGCTCCCGGAGTTACATCACTCAATTGCATTCAATTGAATTATTGACAGAGGCTAGAATTGATAATAAAAAATAAGTACAAGGTACTGGTTAACAAAACTGAAAGTATTAGCCTAATTTGAAAAAAACTCAAAAGTTAAAACTTTTTTTTATGATTAAGTATATAATATCATAATGATCCTAATTATACACGTTGAGATAACTATTTTTTTAAAAAAAAAATTATAGTATCATATGAAATTTAAATAATATTTTATTGAATATTTTTTTTCATTTCATTAAATTTGATTTTTTTTTTTGACTTTTTACTTATTTTACTTAGAAGACATTGTTAAAAAATTAAAGTAGCATTGATTATTTATTCCAACTTTACTTTTATCTAGATATAGTTACTAAATTTTGTCTCAATTAATTAATTATTAATAAAAAATAATTTAATTTAAGATTAAATTAGAGATTGTATGATAAAATAATCTAGAAGCAATAGTTTGACAACTACATACAACTCATTTCTACAAACATCCTTACGAAACCAATTTTGAAGTTTTTTCTTTTAGTTAATAATTTCTAAAGTTGCTTTACAGACAAGTGGCTTAGGCGCTAAGCGTTTGAAGTAGTATTTAGTGTTTTGATCGGGTTAAAACACTATTTTTTATTGTGTTTGACAATATCACATTTATCCTAACGTAAACGTAATCTTCATTAACGTTTAGCGTTTTATAAATTTTTTATAACGCTTATATCCATCATTTGTTTTTGCTTTTTTTATCTTTTTATATTAAAGAGCTAATGAAACACTTATTTTTACGAACACTTCTATTTTAAACTGCTATATAAACAACTAACTATTAATAACTAATATCTAACCACTAACAGCTAGTTAAACAATTGACAGCTACTACAGCAATTAACATTTATTAGAATCGCTAAAATTGCCAAACAAGCTCTTAGTTATGACTTGAAATCGTAAGCTCACGTGGAAAATTATTTGCTTTTGGAGTGATGCAACTTAACATCAAATTGCGATAATTAAAGAAGAGAAAAAGCCTGAAAATTTTATCCTAAACGAAGAAATTAGCCATTTTTGTCTCTATATCACAATAAGCAAAATGTACTACGTTTTCAAAAATTAAATTTTTGGTGCATTATTCCCTCAAAAAACTAAAATTTTATCCTGATATCATTTCGTGGATGCTTCATGATTTTTTAATATTTGTTTATTTTCGTCCAAATATAATATATATAAACAACTAACCACTAATAGCTAATATCTAACCGCTAACAGCTAGTTAAACAACTGATAGTTACTACAACAATTAACATCTATTAGAACCGCTAAAATTGCCAAACAGGCCCTTAGTTATGACTTGAAATCGTAAGCTCCCATCAAATTGCGATAATTAAAAAAAAGAAAAAGCCCGAAAATTTTATCCTAAACGAAGAAATTAGCCTTTTTTGTCTCTATATCTACGTTTTCAAAAGTTAAATTTTTTTGTGCATTATTCCCTCAAAAAACTAAAATTTTATCCTGATATCATTTCGTGGATGCTTCATGATTTTTTTAATATTTATTTATTTTCTTCCAAGTATAATATATAAAAATTAATCAGAAATATAATCCTATCACTATTCCCTAATTAAAAAAAAAATCATAATTTTATTAGCAAACTACAAGAACCAAAATTATTAAGGGGTCTTTCTCTTTCTCCAAAAACTAAAAGCTCTTATCTTTTTTTCTATGGACGGCTACCAGTAAGTTCTCACCAATAATCACCCATTTTTTCATTTTTCTATTTTTATTTTTTTTTCAATTAATCCCCAGATTTATATCTTTTAATATAAATTTAAGTTATTATTATCTAAATATTAGGATTTATTATTACCCATATATTATTATGGTTTTTCGTAACTTATACAGAAAGAAATGCATATCAGACTTGTAGAAAAATTATAGAGTCGAACAGTGACCATGAATAGTCATAAACTAGAGCAAATATTATATTTTATCAACTCGATTAGATAATTCAAATCAAGATTGTATTTTTTTATTCTTTATATAAATAGTTAATTAATAGATTTCTTAAACAAAAATATAAAAACATATTAATCTATCACCCATATCTGCGTACAGTTTCTTGAAATATCTAATTTGATTTTTTTAAAAAAAAATATAAATGAGTTTTTATTTTATCAATATTTTTGGTTGATTTTTTTGCTTATGTAAGAGGTGGGAAGTCTCGACCATAATAGTTTTTATTGATGAGTCAATGGATGGCCACTATTTTATATCATGCAGTCTACTGGACCTCTCTGTGAATTGAAAAAAAAAATATTTTCTATAAAATAGAAAATGTCTTTATCAAAATTCTGTATGAGCAAATGAACACAAGGCAAACATCATCCCACAGTCCAAGGCTTGAGGATGGACTGAACTGACTGAAAAATAGTTGCATGATGAGAAGAAATGTCCAGCCAAATAATAATAACACCACACGAAGGCTTAAAACATTTTCGAATATCTAAATTATGACCAAATTAATATTTAGATGTCTTAATATTTGAGTAATTATTTTGAAAGATCTAAATAATGCTACCGTTACACCGTGAAATCCTTCCATTTAATTTTTTTTTTTTTTCGTTTATATGGGCTAAAAAGCGAATGATTACTCCAACGTTGAGGGATCTAAGTATTAATTTAGTCATAATTTAGGAACTCAAAAATATACATTGAGGGACCTAAGTGTTAATCTGGTTATAATTTAGAGAGCTAAGAATATTTAACCCTCACTTAATATCCATTTTTTCAGCCCATGTAAACTTAAAAAAAGTTAAGAATTTGGATGAAAGGACCTCACATGTAACGGCAACATTATTTAGACTCAAACTTTGAGGGACCTAAATATTAATTTAATCAAATTTAGGGATCCAAAAATATTTTACTCCCAACGAAACACTTTGAAAGATTAGCAAGTCATTAGAGCTAACAGTAATAATAATAATATTAAAGTCATTAGAGCTAATAATAATAATAATATTAATATTAATATTAATAATATTAAAATAACAAAAGGAAAACCAGCAAATGCTAGTGAGTTTAGAAAAGTATGGATAGACATAATCATCGCATCACTTTATATTCCTCAATGGAATCTTGTTCTGATCCCAACATCATGGCTGAAGAATCTTCTATTTGATTCTTTTCCTAAACCACGTCCACATCAACCTTCACAATGCACTCCACGTGGAAATCATAAGAAAATTTATAGGAAATCATCTGGCCGAGGACTCAATTGACTAAAATAAGAGTTGGGGGTATGCCCTCCATCATTTTTGTATGATATTTTTTACTTCTGATAATAATACAACCTAAGCATCTTTCCATTCAAAAAACAATTGACTAAAATAAGAGTTTAATTGGCCCAGATAAAACTAGAAGGACTCAATTGACTAAAGCGTCAAAGTTGAAGGGCAAAATGGAATTTCTCTCTCTAGAAACTTCTCATATAGACATCAAGCAGGCAGTCGTACACAGACTAATGTAAAGCAGAATACTTAGTAGAAAGAACACAATGTCAGTAAGCTTAAGCTAGAAGATTAATGCACTGTAGAAAAAGATTTAAGACATTAAAGGCCGATTAAGAAGACATGGAAACAAAATTTAGATGCTGATAAATCACTTGAGAGTAACAAAAACTTTTTTTCCTCATTCATTGAAAGCCAAATGATTCAGAATAACATTATGAGTTACACAATAAAATAACCCTTTTATAAACACTAGTTTCAAGAAAATTCAAACTTGAGATTTCCCATTTTTATATTTTTATAAAAAGTGAGAAGAACAATCAAAAAACATTTAATTGCTAAAATTTTAAACTAAATAATTCACTAGATCTTTCAATTCTCGTAATGGTTTCTTCCTAGTGATTGATTTTTCCTCCATGAAAAAGTCTCATCGGTAAAACATCATCTAACAAATAATTCCTCATTGTCTGATATGCATAATTAGCAGACCTTTTCATTCCAAATTCAATCATTAACTAGCTGATTATAAATTTATAATATATCCCATCAATTAATTATAAATTTATAATATATCCCATCAATTTGCAGAAAGGATAAATACCAGTTAACTTTCAAGTAATGTCATGCACAGAAATACAAACAGAAATTATTGAAGTTGGCATCATAGAGACTAATTCAAAGCAGAAATCATTTTTCAATAAACTATTCAAGCTATGTCTTCGTCTCTGCAGATTCTTGCCAAATAAAGGACAGAATCATAATAAATTGTCTTTGAATAATAGGCGATGCCCATAACGCTATCAAGGAGCAATGAGAATCAAAACTTGCACATAGAATGTGATTTACATAGAAGCTCTCTACTGTACAGTTTCTACACCCTTTAAGTTACATTCCATCAAGGTATAAAAGGACAATGGTATATCTGAGCAAACCAATCCTATACTTACAGTGTGCATTAAAAACTTGCAATTGATGTTTTAGGCTGCATACTTGCCGAAGATTATTTAGAAAGCTCTGTAATTGCCGCCTGCCAACTCCTTGCAAGTTCTTGAGAAATTTGAAGAATAAAATTAAAAAATTGTGAATTCTTTGCGCGGAGAAGCAGATTGCATGAAATGATTCCAGTTCTAAGAGCAGAGTAGAAATGGAATGTGCATCAACTGTCATGTGAAGTAGGATAGTTCATTCCATCTTTTAGATGGCTCACTGCAGTGGGGCAAAACCACTTCAACATGTTTGGACCTAATATCTGATCAAAAGCAGATGAATTAGCCTCTGAATGGACAAAACTATACGACAAATGAAAAACCACAATAATAGAGTCGACATGCATACTGAAACATGGAAATGAAAAGAGACATGCATTTGTGACAGATAAGCACATGTGTGAACACATAAAAACACATTCAAAAATAGAGAGAGAGACGAACCAAGGTGATATTTTTGTAAACACTAATGTCAAATGGATGCCGATAACTCTGCCCAGATTTCCTAGCCAACCATGCTGCACGAATTCCTTCATGATACTGTTAAACCATTACAATTTTTTATCAATGTTACACAAACATCCCCTTATTGGCAAAAGTTCAAAAGTTTACTTTGAATGTGAACTCTAACAACAGTTTCATGCACTAAAGTAGTTGACTGATAAAGATTGTATCGATCACTTAAGCTAATTTTGTGTTAAACCAGAGTTAAGATTGAATTATTCAATCCACAGCTGTTATTGAGTCTTAAAATAAATGTTAAATCTAGATTGACATGGCAAATGAGTTCATTGCTAGTGATGGCCTTAAAGTTTTTACCAAAGCACCAATTTCTGATAAGTCAGACCCACTATATGTGGGTTTGTTAATGAATCTATTACCTAATTTATATCAATTAGGACATAATTTTTTGAAGGAACAGAACCCACATGCCAATCTCATATAGTTCAGCCTTATCCAAAAGGCAGTCGTGAGGCCAAAAGGTATCACTAGTCACAATAATCATTATTTAAGCATTTGATTTGTGATTTACTGTCCCTGGTAAGTTCATTCAAAATCCGGATTGATGCCATCCATATGGTACATCCAATTTTTGAAATCTGAAGACCTACCTCTATAGTTGTCATATTATTAGTCATAAGATAAATATGCCAACCCAAGAGAGCTCCAAGTGTCGCAGCCAATGCCATCATCATCACTCCAGAAAGAACCTAAAACAATGCAATCAGAACTTTTTAATAATGCCAACAACAAATAAAATAGAACACTTGCATTCATAGAAAAAGGGCAGAAACTCGGAGAGAGGATAAGTTATGAAACTAATACAGCCTAGAAAAGTTAATTGAGCTATGCAAGATCATGTCACCTGAAGTCTAATAAGCTAGGTCAACAACTCAGCAACTAGGACCTTGGAAGTCAATTTATGGAAATGTGAACAAACAAGGCCATTGAGAATGGATTGAGGTTATAACCTTTTTTTTATCAGTCACCTTTTCTACTAAGCTTTGAACTGTATCTAGCTGTTGAAGATACCTCACCATCATCATCATCATCGCTCATATTTTTAACCAAGTTCCAAATAGCTTAAGAGAAAAAAGAAAAAAAAAAAAAATGTAATGTTACACGAATTTTGTTTTAGAATTTAGTCAATGGAATTACTTTTCAATGAGAACCAAGGAACTGAAGTAATAGAGTGTGCTAAGTGTGACAAAGCAATATGAATGATTCATTCTAGATTCTGCCTTTTATATATCGAAGATAAAGGGGTGTGTAAGTGCATGCTGAGTGCTTAGGTTCTTCTTTTCTGACAGCTAAAAATTAAAAGGTAGTACTCATTAGCACCTAATCTATTAGTGAATTCTTCACTACGACATCCGGTGTTAATAAAATCTAATTAGTAAGAATTCTGAATTGAACTTTATATCTTATGCTATATCCAATATTACAGTAGATCATAGGAAGGTAAAAAACAGAATGAAGGGAAGGATGGAGACCCATCAGTTCTTCTGGCTGTTCGAATGACAAAGAAGGAATGTAGAAGACCAGTGCTATTTCATTGAGTAGCCTACCCCCCCCCCCCCCCCCATCTACAGTTAGATCATCAGGGGAAGGGTAAAAAACAGAATGAGGGAAGGATGGAGCCCCATAGTTCTTCTGGCTGTCGAATATGACAAAGAAGGAATGTACGAAGACCACAGTGCTATTTCATTGAGTAGCCCCCCCCCCCCCCCCTCTTCTTTCTTTCACTCCCTCCGTTCCAGAATGACAGAATTCCTGGATCCATGGCTTGGAAGAAAATGATCTTTGGCATTCTCTCTCTCTCTCTCTCTCTCTCTCTCTCTCTCTCTCTCTTTCATTTCTGTATTCCTCCCAACAAAACATTACAGGTTTTTAGGCTTTTTTTTAAGTCCCTCTTCTAGTTAGGGGTGTAATCAAATTGAATTGAGTTGATACAATGCTGAGCTCAAACTTGGCTCAATTAGAAAATCAAAGGCTCAAACTCAGCTCGAGCGCAGTCATTCTTTGATTTTCATACTCAAGCTTGGTTTGAATGGATGCTTGAAATAGTCAAACTCAACTCTTCTTGATTGGATGACCATTAGAAATTGAATTAAATTAATTTATTAATTACAAATAAACTCAAATGAACTAGAATTAGTAAATTATTTTTTTTTTAAATTATATAAATAAAAAATATATTCAAAATTTAAAAACGCGACTAAGCTCAGGAACTGCTTGAGTTGATGATTATAATACTCAAACTTGGATTGACATGTTACTTGAGCTAGTTGAATTCCAGTTAAGTCGAGTCAAATTCAAATATTTTGTGAATGAAGCCTAAATAGCTCACAAGCAGCTTGACCATTTACACCCTTACTTTTGGTGCATCTCTTACATATCCTGCATATTGGAGGGTTGCTATGCCCACCCTTGTTTTTTTGATAATTACTAGTCAAGAACAAAAATTCTGAGATGACACTAGAATTTGATGAAACCCCTTCACTAGAATTAAATGGTAACAAGAGTGCCATATGAAATTAATAACAACTTACATAAAATATCTTGAGGGGCATACTTCGACCAAAATCCCAATTCTTTTGAAGCACGCAGCTGATGATCGTGACCTAAACATGCCAAGATCTTTATCATAATCTGAGGCATGTTAATTTATATCAGAGAAAATGGGGAGCAAGGGGGGCCTACCATAGAATGGATGCTTGCTGCAGTTGCATAGAGAACTAATATGAAGAAGGCCTTATAGTTCCAATAGCCAACACAATTATTTATCCACAGACAATGATGGTCCTACATCCAGAGGAAAAAAATGATAATCAATGAGTTCATTCAAGAGTCATGATAATCAAAACATTACACAAAAGGAATGTAACCTAACCTACCATCCTCAAAACACACCTTCTGCAGATCCGGCAATGGTGAGCCCTGGGAGGCTTGTAAGTGCAACACTTGTCACATTGCCTCAATAGTGAACTCTATCATAAACCAAGAATCAATTAGTCTTATTCATATTAAAAAATAAAGGCTTATCACGGCATTTAGAAAAACAGGTTTTCTTCTGTACAAAACACTATTGCTGCTCTAAAATTATCAGTAATTTGGATTCTTGAGTCTATGTGTGCAAGGTAAAAATTATCAGCCTTTTCAGTTGATGCACACACTACAAGATCATTCATAGCTGATACATGGTAAGAAATTTTTTATCTTGATATCGAAATTTTGACCGTCAGTATGTACCGGCTATGGGCTTAAATGAGGACCGTACTTCTCCTTTTATATAATTGAGCTGCTTGAAAAGCTCTTTCACCAAGACTAGATTAGCAAGACCATATTTAGAAATTCAATTTAGAATTCTAAATTACCATTAAATAACCTGGTTTAGGCTGTTTTAACTGTTTAAAAAGTTGATTATCTTTGAAACTCCATATTGTTCAACCATCAAGATGTCGCAGCTCCAACAAGCTAAAAGACCCTCAATTATACAATTTCAGATTAGTTTAGTCTTCTCATTATTTTATCTAATGTAATTCTTGTCCCCTTTACGACAGTGATACTGTTCACAATAATTTCAACTTGATGAACAAACATTCAAGTTATTATTATCTAATTTCACTATAGTTCTTGAACTTGTTACCGATTTAAATAAAGTTCCTAAAAAGTCAGTTTATATCATTGCGCAACTTCAATTTAGTTTAAATAAACTCACCATTGTTAAATTTTGGTTGAATTTTGTACATTACAACCAAGTAGGAAATTTTCTGCTATAGTTTTGATCTAAGAGTAGACTATAGGACTCTCTTACTTGGTCAACACATAAAAGATTTGGCTAAACCTCAATTTCTACCATTAAGAGTGATGTTACTGATAGAAATTATAGTTCAATAACTGAAATTTAATTGGTGAAATTAGTTCTGTTACTAAACTCATACTTCTTGCGTTAAGCCATAGGCAATGACATAAGACATAAATATATAATTCCAAATGCATTGTCAGCCTTTTATACTACCGAAATTAGAAATTAAAACGGTAAAACAACCAAAGCACTTATTCTCCCCAAGTATTGCATTTTCTTGGAAAACAGACAGAAGCTTTAACCAACAGAAAGCATCCAAATCAATCTGCGATCACCAATTAACTAAAAAATTCACGATGAATCAATTGAGTTAACATTTAAATCTAGTAAAACCCAGCCAAATAGCAACAGAAAATGCATAAGAAAAGGGAATTAAAAGTCTCAAAACACAACCTTTCCCAATTTTCTCATCAACCAATCATAAAAAATGATATATAGAATTTATAAGCACATAAAAGCTTACATTATTTTTGGATTCTTGATCTGAAATGCCATTCCCTTCAACGTCAGGGACAAAAGAGGAAGGAACGTGACCAGGGTCAGTGACAACACAAACACAGAAAGAGAAAACGCATAAAGAAGCCATCAAAGTAAAGATCAAAGCATTCAAAATTCCAACTGAACTCTGCAACCCAACCCAATCCTCGATGAAAATAAAAATAGTAACGAAATAAATAGAACCCATTAACAGAAATACACTAAAGACTGGGATCGACAAGAATCTCTGCCATTTCATTGTTGAATTATGGGATTGCTTTGGTCGAGGAACAGAGGAGAGAAAGTAAACTAGGTGGCAAGTGCGGTTCTTTTTGCTGCCGAAGAAGTTCTTAGGTAATAAAGAATTTAGGATTGGGCTCAGTATCTTATGCGCTCGTTGAATTGGGTCCAAGATCCAACAACAGTTTATTGGTAGGCTTGAACTTGGGCCTCGGATATTCGGACTACAATGGGCCCATTTTAATTGTATGCAAGACAGGAGCATTGATTGGGTAATTGTATGCACTCCAGCATTTTTACATATTACCTCCTTCTCTAATATTTCTTACGTTTAAAAAAATAGTTTGTTTCAAAATACTTATCACATTTATAATTTAAGGAGTAATAAATATTTTTTTTCATATTTACCCTTTGTATATTACCAATAATTATTATTTCAATTTAACAGTTTTCTTAAAGAATTGGTATTAGATTAAAGGTAATACAGTCAATTTACTTAATAATTTACTGTAACTTAGACAAATTTAATTATTTTTTTCAAAGAATGTGAAATTTCAATGTGACAGATATTATAAAACAGAGGTAGCAATAATTTTATGGCACTTCAAATTTTGTGCGACCTATCATATTTCTAAAACAAGAATTTTTATTAACGTTACATACTTCTCTATACTATTAATAACAATTTTCAAAATTTTTAATTTATATATATAAAATATTAATTTGATGTATGGTTAGTATAATTTTTAGAGCAATGATATTTATATTTTTTTTAATTACATATAAAGTGTTTAATCAATCAAAATTTACAAATTAAAGGATTTAATATATGGAATTTTATAAGTTGAAGTGTTGAATAGAATTTTTATGAGAAGTATAAATGTGATTTTATGTTTTGGCCTATTTTATCTCATGGGATTTCACTTAATTTATAATTTATAAATAAATCCTTGTCATGTTTAAAGATATATTCTTTAAATTAAAAAAAATAATTATCTAAATTAAATTGATTTAAACATAAATTATAAAGTATTCATATTCACATAAAAAAATTTAAAAATGCACACAAATAATCGCGCGCAAACACATGCTGATACACCAGCAAACACACATATATTATTTTTCATTTATGCTTATATTTTATAAATTGATTTTTTATGATAAATCTTAAATTAAATTCTAAAACTGAAATTCTGACAATTGATTTATAACAAATTTTTCTTTAAAATTGTGTTTTTTAAAATAAAATTTATATAAATTTTCATTGCATTAGCAGATGCATTACTTGGTGAAATGTAAATACAATAAATATACATGCATTATACATTACAGAAAGTTCATGATTTAGCAAAAAAAAAAAAAAAAAAAAAAATTTTTCTTTGAAAATTGGTGTTTTTTTTTAAAAATAAAATTTATATAAATTTCATTGCATTAGCAGATTGCATTACTTGGTGGAAATTAAATACAATAAATATACATGCATTATACAATTACAGAAAGTTCATGAATTTAGCAAAAAAAAAAAAAAAAAAAAAAAATCCGTTGTTGATAAAAATTTGTTTTTACGGAATAAAATCGAACTTACTTTTGTGATAAAAAAAAAAAAAAAAAAAAAAAAAATCCGTTGTTGATAAAATTGTTTTTACGGAATAAAATCGAACTTACTTTTGTTGATAAAGTTCTGACAGGATAAAATATATAATGAATTGTTATAAATAAAGCTATTATCACCTATTGTAATTCAATTTGTTCAGATTTCTACATATTTAGATAATCGGAAAGTGAGATTTTAATCTCACAGAAACCCTAATATACCATAATTGCTTTTTATTCCAAAAAAATTCTATATATTTTACAACCCTATTACGGTATGCAGTCTTAATTTTATGAACATAAATTGTACGTACTGTGAATAGGTGAAAGGACAATTAATTATAGGTCTGAGTATTATGTGACAAATTGACTTATCTCTTATGTTTGATACAACAATTCCACAAATGTGTGGCCTACGCAACTAAAGTGTATTGTATATTTTATAAGTGTCAGATTGCAGACTTTGTTTGGGAGAAGTGTGCAAATCTTCAACTCCTTGTTGGCATTTTATAAATTATCTTCCACCACTACACAAATTTTACATATAAAGCACAAAAAAAAAAAAAAAAATTACAAAAGCTAATCAAATACTATTCCCATAACTTAGGGCTACACAAAAATAATTTAAGAAATATTGCAAAAAGTATGTAGAAAATACTTAGTTCTGCAAAAAATTTGGAGGTTAAAAGTATAGGTAGGATGAAAATTTAATTGCATGATGCTAGTGTAAATGTAAACACACTTGGTGATCTATGAGATAGGTTCCAACTTTAGAAACGACTTTAATTTTCTAGACTAATTTGGATTTCTTGGGTATGAATGTTCTGTTTGAAATGGATTCATGAGACAAGTCAAGGTATTCTCATGAGCATTAAAGTTGAGAAGCTTGGAGCCACAAATCTCTATACAATATCACTTGATGTGGTAGCCTACTGATAAAGACATTGATCATCCGCTTGCTTGATTTAGATTTAATTCTCCATGCCAGCATCCCATTACACATGATGTCTAAATATTGACTCTGCAAAAAGGGGCTCTTATTAAGGGCTCCCATTAATGCTCATTAACACCTGACTAGTGGCTTGAGTCGGCGAGCGCAGTAACTGACACACCTAGGTTGTTAGCAAATTGGTTGAAGTTAATCTACAATCAAAAGTGTAAACTTTTTGACGAATTGTGAAGAAATGTTCTTTTTTCTATTCGGAGATGAAGATTGTGCAAAATACCAACAGGAGTTGATTGAAATGAAAATAATTCAAATCTTTTAAGTAAGAAGTCGAGTGTTTCATTCTTGTGGATGAAAAAATCTTTACTGAGAGCGCTTTTCCTTTCTAATTTTTCTTTGACATCTACTTTAAATATTTTTTTATAATAACATTATTTAACTTGTTTTTCCTTTTTTAGGGTTAATAAGGTTCAACATTTCGGTACCAATAGATCAATCTAAGAAAAAGCTAGCTCTCCGATTTTAAAAAACACCGACAAAAATGACAACCATCAAAATTTTTGCCTGCATCACTAGGGTTTACAAGTCCCTTTAAACGTAAAAATACAAATTCACATATAACTTGTGGGACTAAGAGTTCTTCTAACTCTTGGTTGGCATTTTGAAAGTTGTCGCCCACCACCAACCAATACATAAAATGAAAGCCAGAAAAATAAAAAAAAAAAAAAGTACAAAAATTAATGAAAAACTATATATATAGTTCCATATATTAGGGCTACACATATATATATAAACTTAGCAATTATAACAAAAGCTGGCTGCTCTCTATTCTCTATCATTCTTGTGGACTCAAATTACACGTACAAAGTTGATTGGCATCAACATTCAATTTCGGTATCATTTGTATTCCCATTATATAATCTTAGATGGGGCCTCCATATATACATGTCCACCTCTCATCATACTTTTCTTGGAGGGACCCTTTCATTTCTCCAATTGTGGCCCCCACACCCTATAAATTTCATTTATATTTCTATAAATTTCATATGGAACGAAATATACATTATATATGCCAATCAGATGTCTCTAATTAATCTTCTCAATAATATAAAGAGTTAAAGGTTTTAAGTTCGAGTCTTCTCGATTAATTTGGTGAGTCAAATGTATTTTTGGTATAATTAATTATTTTACATTGCATATGATCCAACAAATGGAATTCTGGGATTTGCGCGACCAATCGCGCAATTATGAATTATTCGTGTTTAGAAATTGAAACTTAAGCTAATTGAGAAATGTTTTTTTTTTTTTTTACTGTAATTATCTGAAAATTTGATTAATTAGAGTTTATGAGTTATATATAGTTGAGCTATTAAACTATAATGAAAAATTCACAGCTTTGGATTAAGTATTTTAGTGATAATATTATATAACTGGCCACTAATATTATGAAATGCTACTCAATTAAACTTACTAAATATTAATAATTTGTAATTTGCAACTCAAACACTAATCACCAACTGCAACTCCTTCGTCAAGTAGACATTTAGATTATTTTGAATTATATAATTTAAATTCTAATATTCTAAAATGAATTACTCAAATCTCAACCAATGAAATTATGGGGAACCATAGGCTTTGACATTTCTTAATTTTAGTTATAAATGGTATGAAATTAAGATTAAAGAGGAAAAGAAAAAAAAAAAAAAGAAAAGAAAAGTCATACATACCTTAAATACTGAGATGGATATACCACAATCATGAAAATTACAGATGTGATATTATCAATAAAGCAAAAAAGGAAGACTTACAAATATATTACCGTAAGTGATCATCTGTCTTTATATATATACACTATAGGTATAATTAATTCATTGAGTTAAATTTAATTCTGCTAACGTCGCGTCAGGTTCATAAGAAGAAAGTGTTTCCAGTAGAAATTTTTTTTATTTATAAAAATTAAACACTCGACTTTTTATTTAAGGAATAATACCATTTCTTTTTCAGTTTCATTGCATCATACTATTTTGTTTCGTTGGACGTAACTTATAGATTTTATGGCATAATTAAAAACTTGAGATATACTTTTATTATTACGTATATAATAATTATTATGGACAATTTCTGGCAAAACGAGCATCTTTATACGCACCCGACGGGTAACAGATAGTACTATGGTTGCATTGCATGGATGGCTGCTCTTAGCCAGCCTGCAACCAATGGTCCCATACTCCCATGTATGGGGAAATGGAACTTGATTAGTTAGGGTTTAAAACTTTGAAGACAACACATAAATTTACCATGAGCTTTATTTTTAATTTTACGGTGCTCTCGATTTTTACTTTGATCCATTAAATACATTAATTTATAAAATTACATCAATTAAACACTTTATTTTGTAAAATTATTCGTAAAAATTAATATTTCAAAAGTTATGCTAACTACACATCAAATCAATACGTTATATATAAAAGCCAAAAATCATAAAAATTATTGCTATTAATGTAGAAATGTGCGCAATGTTATTAAAATTTATAAGTTCAAACATACGATAGATCATTCGCAAAGTTCAGAGTGCTACAATATTAAAGTTGCAATTTGGGATAAATTTATATATTTGGCCGTTATAAAAATGAAATTGTGAGGAAGTTTAATTGTTAAATGTCACATCATATTGGTTGTGAATAAAAATATAAAAGGTATTTTAATCAGGTTCGAGACGGACTATAAAAACCTGCACAAAATTTGAAAAAATAGATTAAACCGAACCACTTCGATTCTGACCTCTATTTTGATTGGGATGAGTTTTAATATTTAAAGTTTGGTTTGGATTTATTTACTTTTGTTATCTTTTTAAATCTGAACGGTCATTTACATATTCTCTAAATTCTAACTAAGGTTAAATTGTTTAAGGTCTTATAAGACTAATTTTACTTTATATAAATTGATGTTCTGATGTTTAAAAAGAATGGTTAATTCTACTATATGTAGCTCGCAATATCATTTCCTTATTTAGTGATTAGTGAGGAACATAGAAAATAGACCAACCTTCATATATCTATATAATTTATAGTATGCATTTTGGTGCTCTTAAAATTGTAAATGAAAATAAAATAAGTTTTCAAGTTATAATAGACCACCTTCATATATCTATATAATTTATAGTATGCATTTTTTGTGCTCTTTAAAATTGTAAATGAAAAATAAAATAAGTTTTCAAGTTATATAATATATTATATAAATATATATATATATATATATATATATATATATTATATAATAATATATATATATATATATATATAATCATAAATATGTAGATAAAAATGAATTTAAAAATTTAAAAAATAAAAAAATGTTATATTTAGCTAAATAAAAATAAAATGTTAAGTACTAAGTTTACCTTATTATAATCATAAAATATGTAGATAAAAATGAATTTAAAAATTTAAAAATAAAAAATGTTATATTTTAGCTAAATAAAATAATGTGTAAAGTACTAAGTTTACCTTATCATTAACTAAAGTTATTCTGTTACCGTTCTGATAAAAAAAATTACACAATCATTGTCAAAATATTAATACTCCATTTCTGTATTTAATTGAAGTATACTTATAATGAAGTAGTTTTAAAGACTTCTCATTATTTTTTATTTATCTTGCTTGAAGAATTTGATTAAATAAAAGCGAAAACAAAGCAAATTTCAAATTTATAACTTTACATACGTCAAACGGAAATTATTGCCTTGATTCCCACAAATATCAAATTGTTTATTTTAGCTCAAATGCACAATAATGCATTCTAACTCCTAGTCTTGTAATGCAAAATCTTGTAAATAAGAGTTTTTTTTTTCCCCTTTCCTAATTTCATTTATCATGTACTACTAGATAAACAAAATTCAATATAGCATCAAATGAAATCTCATAGCTATTAATTAAGGAAAAGTATACATTAAATTTGTCATATATAATCTTTGGGTCATAAACTAAATATAGTCTTAGATAGTAAGTATGAATAGCTTGCAATTAATTTGAATTAATAAAAATTTTACAGATTTTAATGGCCATTAATTAATTAGATTCTTAGACTATGTTGAACAACAGCTTTTTAAGTAGCTTTTAGTGTTTTGACTATTTTTATATTGTTCGGTAACACAACATTTGAACTAACTTTAAAGGTTAAGGTAGCGTTTTATAAAAAGTAATGCGAAAGTCTATATTTTTTAAAACAATTACAAGTTAATTAAATTGACATAATTGAACTCAGTAGAAAGAAACTAGATATATTCACACAAGTAAATAAATTACATCAAATAACTTAGGAGTCAAGTAAATCGAACATATCAAATTAAAATTTGTATGTAACATAATGAAATTTAAACAAATAAATCCATTAAATTGAATAATGCAAGAGCTGCTATTGTCTCCTTGTATGAGATATCAAATCATTACTTGATGACAATAATACTAATTAGTTATACGGAAGTAGTTGAAGCCAGGAGGATAAATTCTCTGCCATTGCTATCTCTACATTGCAGATGTTCACCTCAACTTAAAATTATGGTCATACAGGCAGTTGTAACATTCAAATATATTTAATATTCAAATTAAATAAATTAGTTAGTGCACTATATTGGTTTACTATGATTTGGTTAATCTTCACATCTTGTAGAAGACGTGAGGAGTGAGAGGTCTCGAGTTTAAGTTTTTAAATGGGTCTACTATATATATATATCCTTCTAAATTTTTATCTATAGACAACATCTTTTATGTAAAAAAAAGTAAAAAGAGTAAAAAAGTGACCATCGTATATGAAATATCTCATATTTGTAAGCTCTACAAAAAAGGGTTGATGTATATGGCCTTCGTATGAAACAATGAATATCAAAGAGAATCCAAAAATCCCAGGAAATATATACACACACACACACGCAAAGAGAAAAGTATCTATATCTATAAACAGAAAAAGTTCAAGAACTAATTGTTTGTGACTTTTGCTTGTCAAAATCATTATCCAAAACTATTAGATTGATGCTCTAAATCTAATAACTAAAATCACTCCAAAATATATAACTCAATGTCTAAATTTGATGCAATTCACCAATTAGCATTAACTCAATAACTATGAAGAGATTGGAAGAAGTCCTACCAAAACTTAATTAATTGATAACAAAAAGGGCAACTAAGTATTTACTATATATGATTCAAAGAAAGTTTAATTAACTATAAAATGCTAGCTAAATTAGTGTAAGCAGAAAGATGATAAGTGGGTTTAAGTTGTTTGATGAGAAATTAATGATTGAGATAAGAAGAAGCAGCAAGGGCATCAATCAAAAAGTGATGCATGAACTTTCACATACCAATCCAAAAATGCATTATTTTTCATATGCAAACAAGCAAATTTCTTAGCTAAACTGATTTCCAAAGATCCTGTAGTACACATAGAAGTTGTTTTTTTATCCTCAATCCATGTACTTGTGGACCATATAAGAAGGGAATGAATGAATTGTTGATCACTTGTCAAATGACATAACAGCTTTTGTCAGTAATTGCCTTTGCCCCCACATGACATGGCCTTCAGATTCTTCTTCAATTCCATGACTGGTAAAGAGAAAAAGAAGATTCAAACTTCATTTGGAACATACCAACTCTTCTTTAATTTCCACAGTGCTATCTCTGAAACTGCAAACACTACCCCGGCAAACCAGATTTCCCCTATTTATTGCATTCTAACAAGTCATTTCTCTTCTTTTAATTTTTTCATTAACTAGATTTCAATTAGGGTTTAGTTAATTACTAAGCTCTTCTTAGACCTGAATTCATGGTTCCAGAATCTTACATACACTTAATACCCAATGGCGAAACCAAAGAGCTATAGCTTTCTAAAGCTCAGTCTTAGCAATTCCATTATCCCAATTTCGTTGTTAAGTGCGTAACTCCTCTGACTTAAATTTCTAGCTTCCCCTGCTACTATTATACAATTAAAGTTCATTAATAAAAGATGATCCTCTTTAATTTAGTATCTTATCAGCTAAATTAATAGACCTTTTCTTTATTTGTTTGTATATATATATATATATATTTTTGGAATAAGAAGTTCAAAAGTTGAAATAATGTTACTGATATATATAATCATAATGATGTTTAGTTTATTTATCCTGAGCTACAGCTAATTAAGGATTTGTATTATTATTAGTTATAAATAAATAAACTTTGTTTTACATGTGGGACAATATATGCCAGAGCAAACATTGTGAGATTTGAATATAGAGTAGTGTTATATATTCTTCGATAAACTTCATCCACATTTCATCTCAACAGTTCTTCATAGATTCCTTTGGAAGGATTCTAAATGGATGAGAAGACTAATATAACACATATGCCAAATGCCCCCATTTTATATTTAGATAAAATAATAAAAATTATATAATTTAGGTTTGAATAAGTTAATGGAAAGAACATGAGAATACATAACCATTTATATATATATTAGCTTCCTCAATATGTTTATATATATATTTAGTCAATTATAAAATCTAAGAGATAAAATATTTCAAAGGTATAAAGGAATTAATTTATGGCGATTAAAGGATTAACAATTACTAATTACTATTGATATTTTTCTCTATTATGCAATATATCTGCAAAGCCATGTTTCATAATTATGGGGAGCTCCAAGCCTTACATGTATGTATGTGTATTTATATATATATAGACACACCCTACCCACTAACCAAAACCCTAGAATTGAATAAAACTTGGATTGATATATAAATAATATTAAGAATAAATAAATAAATAAAAACATAGTATGATCAGAATAATTGTAACAGAAAGGACCTGACCCAGTTTCTCTCGCTTCATATATATAAACAAGTGATCTTTAATTGTGCCTGTCTCATTCCCTGCAAGTGAAACAATAACAAAAGCGAATTTACAGTACCCATCTCTCGTAGATAATTTATAAGAATATCACAAAATCTATTATAACATTCTTACCAAAGAGAAAACACCCAATGAAACTAAAATAATTAAGGATTCAAATTAATATGTTTACCTTGTTTATTAGTGCTTCTGCTAAAAATCTTGGATCTAGTTTCCTTCTTTTTTTCCGAGTACCACGGATCAAAATCTAGCTTTAGCCATTTATTGCTGATGCAGCATCATCAAGATTCTCACCTTCAAAAAGAAGAAACAACGAAAAAGAAGAACTTGGGTAGAAGAATGTATATATATAATTAGTCAATATGTATTGGCTGGCTATAGCTATAGTTGCAGATTCCCTGTATTTGCATGTGAATCTTGGTGATGCTGCATCTGCAAACAATGACTGTTGTTGAACAACTTGAAGAAGAGTTGGGTTTTACAGAAGGGAAATTTTTGTTTGTTTGCTCGTTTTGTGAAATAAAATTAATTTTGGAGAACCAGAAAAAAGGTTAAACAACACAACTCAGATCTGCCCATTTTATGTGCTTCAGTGGGTACAGATGGCATTTAACAAATGGTTATGGTTACAATATACATTTAAATTATAAAAAGAAAATCTTAAATGAAAAAAGAAAAAATAAAAAGAAACACACAAAAGAAACAACTTCAACTACTTCTCTTTGTTTATGGTAATTCATGGCTTTGAAGTTTTTGGGTCAGTTTCTTTTTTGCCATCAAAGAACTTTGAGAAAACATGAAGGAAAACAGTATTGGCTAACAGAGAATTACATAACAAAGTAAGAAAGAACTGAAAGAAAAGAAAACCAAGAAATCAAAAACCTGGTTTGAAGATGAACAAGTAAAAAGAAGAAAAGAAGAGACTGGTCAAGATCTAGTGGAAGTCTTGCTAAAAAGACAAGATAGAGAGACAAGTGAGGAAGAAAGAAAGAAGAATAGGTGAGGAGATTTGTTAGAGTTTTGAGGTCGTTATATACACACGACGCCATTTACTGGTATAATTCCGCAACCCATAGATGCATAGGAATTGTGTCATTTTCTTTTTGGCGTAATTAATATGTAGTCCCTAAACTTTAGTGAAATACACAAGTAAGAAACTTAATTTTAAAAATACTTTGTTTAGTCCATTTATTATAATTATATTATTCTATAAAGTCCAACTGTTAATTTTTCGGATAAATGATTCAAAAATACTTCTAATTGGGGACCTTTTCAGAAATTAGACTATCCAAACCGTACATTTCAAAATTACGTTATTTTTAAGAGTATTTTTGACATTTTATTGCTATTTAATGCAAAAAGTAACGGTCAGAATTTATGGTATTATATAATTAAAATTAATGCATAAATAGTATAATTTTAAAAACAAAGTCCTTACTAATGTGTTTAATCAAAATATAGAGACTATAACAATTACCTCTATCTTTTCATTTTTTTTCTCTTTTTTCCTTTTTTATATTAATTAAGTTATAATGATTTACCCCTTCCGTCCTCCTATATAACAATTACCTTAATCTATTTTCCTTTTTTTTCTCTTTTTTCCTTTTTTTATATTAATTAATGTTTATAAATGATTTACCCCTTCCGTCTCCTAATATATATATATATATATATATAATATATATATATATATATGTTTGTATGCCTAGTTTGATTTTCACATTGATTAAGGAAAATTAATTAATATAGATAAATTATATTTTTTGTTTAATTTTTTCGTAAAATATACTTTTATAATATTAAATGAAGGTATCAATCGGAAATGTGGATGTACATTAAATGAGAGTGTGTTAAGAAATTAAATAATAAATGATATTTTAAAAAAGAAAATAAAATTACATTTTGAAATAAACGAAAAAGAAGAGCAAGTTTATATACATGGGACGGAGAGAGTATTGAATTGCATGGACTCAAACACGGGACAAGGGACATGGCATAGGACACGAAACATGGTAATTTTTATAGAAAATAAGATACTACACTCATGACATGTTACACTAAAAAGATAATTTATTAAAAATTCAAATAAGTAACCAGTCACTCATAATAAATCATAAAAATAAAATAAAAGAAAAATATTTAATTTTTCATTTCAACATCATTAGTTAAATTCTCAACATTAACAGCAACATTAACAAATCATCGTGTCTGTTTTTGGCTCATCTAGTAAAATGAATAATTTCAACAATTCTAACATATATTGAAAAGAATCAAATTCATACCTACAATGCTTAATTTGTTGCACATGATATTGTGGCCTTTCAATTTTTGTTTTTTGCAATCAAATTATAAATCCTAACTAATGATTTAGGCGTTTTCCTTCTTTTTTATTGTTTTTTATTTTAAGTATATATAGTTAATTAATTTATATTTAAGAAGTCAATTTAAATTTTTTATTAATAAATTTGTCTAAAAATTTAATAAAATTTTAAACATGAACTGTTTACTTTAAATGTTATTAATTATTGATGCTACGTATGTTCCTATCACACGTGTGAGTAGTGGGCAAGTTTCTTTCGTACGAATTTACCCATCGGATAGTAATAAAAAATAATAAAACTCTCCTCCCAATTCTTTTTTCAAGGATTTTTAATACGTAAAAGTAATTCTTATTTTCGTACCTAATAAGTACCATTCTTTTACTTAAAAAAAAAAAAAGAATATATTGGAAAATTAAATATGACGAAATAAATATTAAGAGAGAATATTATAGTGGTAAGTCGTCAGTGACCCGCTTTTCTTTTTTTTTCCCCCTTTTTTTATTTTTAAAGATTTTGAAAAGAAAAAAAATACACAAAATTCTAAAAAAATGAATAAATACTCGAAAAGTAATGAAATAAGCATAAGGTTGGGAATGGAAGTTGTTTATTAGAATATTTGACGATTAGTTGTAGGTTTCTTATTTAGTTTTAATTCTATCCTAAATTTAGCTTTTTTTTTCTCCTAATACTCTCAACTTCAATTTTAGTTACCATACCATCCTGATTTCAAATTGTATCTGATTTAATGAATAAAATATTATTTTCATTATATCTATACTCTCTCTTATGGTCAGATTACTTAAAAATTTATTGTTTAATAAAAACTATTATTGATTGGGAATTTAAATTTATAACAAGCCAAGTAAAATAATAAATTTTAGTTGGTTAGAAGTATAAAATATTAATTTTTATTTTTATTTTACCATTTTTTAAGCATGAAATTTTTTATTAAAAATAGATCTTATTCATTACGGCGTCATTTTATTTTTAGAAAATCATTACTTGGTGTCAATAATATATAAATTAATAAAAGTATTTTATTTTTAAGATGAATATATTTATTTTTAAGATGGAATATATTATTTTTTATTTTAATATTATAAGAAATAAATATAAATATTTATTATTTATAAAGTATTTTATTTTTAAGATGAATATATTATTTTTTATTTTAATATTTATATAAATAAATATAAATATTTATTTATTTATAAGCAGTACCGGTGGGAAGGAGCCTAATTTGGAAAAACAAAAAAGTTAAACTGGGTTACACAAAAATAATATTTTATTCATTAAATTGGGTACGATTTAAAATTAGAGTGCTATTGTAATTAAAATTAAAAGTTCAGTGTACTAAAAAAAGAAAATTAAATTTAAGGTATAATTAAAACTACCCCCAAAGTTTGAGTTATTTTTAACGATTTAACCTCTTATTTTAACAATTAACTAATTAGATAAAATAAATAAAGTAGCAAATAAAATAAAATTAACTATTAGGATTCAAACAACTACAGATTTATAATTTGAAAGACTTTATTTACACTCGATAACAATACTGAGAAAAATTTTGGTAAACAACAAAATTTGGATATATTCCTAACTTAAGAAAGATGTGATTAAGATTATATTTACAAGTGTATCTTTATTAATTAAGCATTAGCAAAAGATATGAATCTTAAGAATATCAACTTTGAACTCAACTCCATAATAGTCTTTTTTGGTATTCTCAATGGGGAATATTTAAATAATAATATCGAAATTTACTTTATATTATATAATTTAGGAATTTATCAAATAAACCCATTTTATTTAAAAATTTCAATCTCGTATTACATCAAAACAAGATTTTCATTGGTCTAGGTTATTATTATTTTTTTTTAATGAAAAACGAAGTCAACTCTATACTATTTGTCGTTTTCCATATGCTTTAACAGAAGACCTTCCTTATTACTTAAGACAACAGAAATTCTTTTTAAAATGCAATAGATTTCTAAACTCTTTGGACAGCCAACCGCAGCTTGTTCATTGGGCAATAAATTGATGATATACCAAAGCTTGAGATGGGGAATCACGGGTCAATCTTCTTTTTTTCTTTAAAAAAAAATTTTTTTGTTTTGAGACAAAATCATGTGCTAAGTTAATTATAATTAACTTGCTTGTCACCCTTATATCCCCTTTGTATATTTTGTAGTTACTTGATGTGGAATCTTAACATTCACCCTCAAGTGCAATTGAGACTGTACTTCTAGTTGATAATTGAAACTTGAAATCCTCCCCTTGAAATTGAACTGAGCTTTTTGACTTTGAAATTGAATGGATCTCGTTGGGACTAGACAAGAGCCCGAATTGAAATGCAGCAGCAACAACGATAGACTGAATAATAACTGAAACGGACCAGACTTGCTCTAATACCAAATTATAAATTAAAAAGATAGAGATAAATTGGATAAGAGGTTAGAATCCATAAAGTGAAAATATTATGTTTGATTATAAACAATTTAATTCTAAGAATTTTATCCATATTCCTTCATGTTGTTTTGAATGTTATCCAACAAATTTATGCTTTTGAATTTTTCTTCATTTGTTTGAGAAATTAGTGCCAAATCATGATTTTAACTAGTCAAATTTTGAGAATTGATGGTCAATGAGTTTTGAATTTCAAATTCCTAAATATAATTAATTTTTTAATACAAATCAACGGAGTTGGGTCATTTGCTACATTCTTTTGTGTTACAGGAGTTATATTAGGAAATTGCACTTGCCCCTTAAACTGTTAGATAAAATTGATAATAAAGTAAAAGGATATAATTAAATTACAATGATAAAAGTTTTATATAGGACAGAATATTTTTTATTAAATGTTACCGATAAATGAGATCATTAACTGCTAAAAATGTTGGTTGAATAAATAAAAAACAAAAAAAAAAAAAGTGTACTCAGCAAATTTAATCTATCGCATAAATTTAAATAAGACTGTAATTAACTGTAGGGTTGTTTGAATTTATAAAAATTTCAAATTTATATATGAAACCAAAAATCATCTTTTTAAAGTAGGTATATATAGAAGAATATGTGAATTACCAATTAGATTTAAATCATTCATGATATAAACATTAATACTTTTAAAGCGATAAATGAGATTGTAAATTGGAATTTAAAAAAATTAATATCAATTAGGTGTGATCTAGTTGGTCTTTTCATGTTCTGTTGAAAATATAAAATTTAATAAATTATTCAAAGGAAAAGGTTACTTACTGCGGTGGAACAAAAAAAAAAAATAATTAGAGGGGCGATATTGAAAAGAAATCATTGTTTTATAAGGAAGTGGCCGCCATTGTCATTCAATTAACTTCACTGAGATTCAATTTTATAACCCTACACTTTCACATTTTATTTTGGTGAAGGGTATAGTTATTCTGAAATATAAAAAGTATAGGGTTATAATAAGTTCTCTATAAATTTAGAGGGTCACAAAGATAATCGTTGAAAGTATATATAAAGTCAAATTTGTACGATAGACCATTCATTAAAATAAGCAATTGATATAATAATCCAACAACATTTCATAAAGAGTTATTTAAGTGATAGACAAATTTGAATTTAGTGACGATTAAGAATTTAATCCGTACGCTTTTATAAAAAGAGATCACTATAAATTCTGAATGAAATTAAAAAAAAAAAAATAGAAGTGTGAGGATATATATA